TCTAAATAGCATGCGAACAGAATTATTTTTTTAACGAATTAAACTGTGTAATCCAGTAATCGGTAAGTAGTAACTACTATATATATTAATATGATGAATTCTACAATCTAAATAGCATGCGAACAGAATTATTTTTTTAACGAATTAAACTGTGTAATCCAGTAATCGGTAAGTAGTCACTACTATATATATTAATATGATGAAATCTACAATCTAAATAGCATGCGAACAGAATTATTTTTTTAACGAATTAAACTGTGTAATCCAGTAATCGGTAAGTAGTCACTACTATATATATTAATATGATGAATTCTACAATCTAAATAGCATGCGAACAGAATTATTTTTTTTAACGAATTAAACTGTGTAATCCAGTAATCGGTAAGTAGTAACTACTATATATATTAATATGATGAATTCTACAATCTAAATAGCATGCGAACAGAATTATTTTTTAGCGAATAAATTTACGTAATTCACCACAGTCCACTGAGTACGTTTACAGACTTGCAACACTAAAACTCTGGATTCGATTTCCCACGATGGACAGAGCGCTGTTAGCCCAATGATGATTTGCGCTAAAACAAAAACCAACAAATAATCCATCCGGTTCATACTTAAAAATAAATGTTTCTGTATTGAATCGTATAATTCATTTAGTACAAAACCACCAGTGAAAACCGAGTTGCTGAATTTTACAATCCAAACAACTAATAGCCGCAAATGTTTTTGGATATGTTAAATTTTGCTGTCCTACATTGCTAACGTTATTGGATCAGCTCACCCAAGCTAGGACAGGCCTCGTTCACATTGTATGTGCATTTATATCCTATGGTACACTAGTACAGAGTTTATAGAAGCCTCTAATTGTTATAGTCAGTCTGTTTGATTCAAAGTGCTTCAAAGAAAATAGCTCACAGATCTTCAATGATAAATTGTTATTGGGCTGAGCACGCGACACATTGGTTAGCGTGCCAGACTGTGAATCTGAGGTTTCGTGATCTGCGCCTGTTTGCCGCAATATATATATATGCTCTGCATTCTGAGGCCATGGGTGCATTATAAGGGTGATGGTCAAATACCACCGTTGGGTTTGATGAAAATTAGCTCAAGAGTCGGTGGTGTATGTTATTAGATGAAATATTGTCGGCATAACCAGTAACTAGTGTATAAAATCAGCCAAAATGCACAAGTTTAATCCACGTTATTTGCTTATACAAACTATGAAAGATGCTATGAAATGAAACCGCGTTTCTGCCTTTTAAATCAATCACTCATAAATCTCGCTTCAGAACTTCCCACATCCAAGAAACGTAGAGAGCTCCATGCTGCAAGATAATATGAGCAGACTGCAGCCCATAAGCCGCTCATTAGAGCCATGATCGTAAAGCGCCTCTGCTTTGAAATATTGGTGAACAGCAATCAAAAACCATCATGCGGGACGATGAATCCAGTCACTCATTGCCGGCTTCGGATGAAGAAGTGTGGATTTGATAATCAGTTAGTCATGATGTCCTTCCCAATTCTGAGGGTCGATGATGATCCATCGTCCTCTGTTCCTCGATGCCTGTACCAAGATTCTCAAGTACATTTACTACTTTATTCAAACTTTCCTTAAATAAATAAAGCTACGTAGCGTGGTGTGGTGCTCAGGCCCGTTCTACACCTGATAGGTATTAGTGCCAATGGTTAAATAGGTGCCAGGAGGCAGTTACTTGGATAGTACAGTGGGTGTAACAACAACCTAAAGAATGCGTCACCCCAGCCGTGAAGAGACATGAGGTAAAATCATAGTATGAGTTTGTTTTGGATGGTTTGGACTTAGTCTACTGGTTACAATTTAAAAAGCCATCAATTTCTCGTATTATTGTGATGTTCTGGACAATGATACACTTCCTGCATTCGTGGAATTATCTGGGAAAAGAACCATATATCTTTCAGCATTATAATGCACGTGTCAAACCACCATTCTTGGCCTGCAGTGGTTTGACAAAAACAACGTTCAAAAATACAACTTCTCACAGTCCAGTGAATGTAATTGGACATCTTTACGTTTTTTCAAGTCAAATGAAGAAGAGAACCTTAAATATTACAACATTTGGAGTTGCTTTCCAAGAGAAGTGGAAGTATTTTCCGTCAGATGGTGCTATTACCTCCTTAAATGATATGATGTTGCAGATTTTTAATTATTTGATCCAACATATACACAACCACCGATATATGTTATGTACAAACAGTTCTCGGTGAAATACTTTAATATATCTACTTTTGTATGAAATACACAACCATCGATATATGTCATGTATGAACAGTTCTCGGTGAAATACTTCAAGATGTTTACTTTTTTTATGAAATACACAACCAGCGATATATGTTATGTGCAAACAGTTCTCGGTGAAATACTTCAAGATGTTTACTTTTTTTATGAAATACACAACCATCGATATATGTTATGTATGAACAGTTCTCGGTGAAATACTTCAAGATGTTTACTTTTTTTATGAAATACACAACCATCGATATATGTTATGTACGAACAGTTCTCGGTGAAATACTTCAAGATATCTACTTTTGTATGAAAGTACTGATCAGTATACAATTTTTTTAAGCATCTTAGTTTATGTTTATAATCAGCGGCATAAGTATGCCCCCGCAGCCCACTTTCTTGGGGGTTCCTAGCTATAAGGGGCCCTAAGGGCTTGAGAATTGCCGAAAAAGGGAAGGGAACCAATTACGTTTTATGCCGGGGGGGGGGCATTTTTTTAGTTACGCCACTGTTACGCCATCATGAGACCCATTTCCGCGTATGATAAAAATCTGTGTTTTTTTGTACTCCACTAAGTTAACTCGTGCTTTATTTTTTAATTAAAGTCAATGCCATTTGGTATCGAACTCTATGTTTTAACGTCGGTGTCAATTTGGTATGTCCGTTGTTTGAGAAAAAAATAAATAAAACAACCGCCAGAAATGTATTTGCAATTAATTCGTGAGTACTTAAAATATTGAATATGTACTTAAACATAAACGTGTTTTGTGTTGTTATCGTAACCAGGTTTCTAGCAATATAAGTTCGCAGACATATCGGCTGTGCCAATTGAAGGGCGAAATTATATAAACGATCTTAGTCGTGTGGGAAACAGTTTCTTTTCTTTTATTCAGCAGACATTTTTATTAATGAGAAACCAATAACAAGTTGTGTTTTTTTTTCTCTTCAACTATTTCGGTTTCTGTATGCTAGTACTATTTCTATTTGTTTCAACACTACAGGTTTATCTCACACACACACCCTCTAACCCTAATTCCACGCCGGACGCACTTAGCCTCTTAATGTCCAAGCCACTTCTTCGAGTTGTCAACATTATTTGCCCTTAACGTAGACATGTGAGGCTATTCTCTCAGCTCAACCGAGAAGTCTTTACTACATTTGTTACAATTTAAAGTTCTTCATCTCATGCAGAAACGAATCTACCGCTCTTCCAAGTAGGCTAACTGCAGTCAAATTAAACCAATGTTTTCATAATCCCTAAATACCGAGCGTTAAGTACACAGATGAATGACATCCGTTGACGAACTTAATTAATTAATTAATCTTATTAGCGACTATTCTTCGGCAAAGAAGTATATCTTCTTTCATTAGCTCTTATTGCTATTGATACACTTATTAAATAACAGAAAAAGTCGAGGGCAATTCTCATTTCGGGTATCATCAAAGCTTAGTCTGAGATCCAAAAGCTGTTTTGGATTTTGGTTTTCAAACCTAAAGGCAGGAACACTATAATTCTAAATCTGCCCCGATCGCATTGTTTGTTTGTTTTAAAGCAAAGCCACTTTGGGCTAACTATTGTGTTCACGGCAGGGATTCTAACCACGGATTTTAGTGTTGTAAGTCCGTAGACTTACCGCTGTCCCACTGCGGGCGAGGGTGGGGGTGGGGGGTTCATTGCGATTTGATATTTAATTGGTTGTCAACTGCATTACTCTCTCATCAGTCCTGTCCATACTAACAGCTTCTGTAACGTTTAACCCTTCAGACGCGAACTTCTTTTCAGTCATATCACGCTCAAAATCATCGTCACACAATTCAGGTTCAGAGCCAGAATCATCGTCAGCTTGCATATGTTCAGTTGTATCTTGAAATGTGAAAACACTGGTGCAATTTGATTTCATTTTGGGTCCGTTTTCTCATAAAAATTAAACAATTTTCAACTGCAAATGTTACCTATGGTTTGAATACCAACATACGCCATTTTGGATACGAATCGGCGGCTGAGATCATTTGTGCAAATTAGGCTTCGTCTGTTGATTGTGTACACTCGTTTCGCATTTCTAGCGGACAATTCAAACTGCATAATGTAGTCGCCATAGGCGACAGGCATGCCTAAAGATTTACAGTATTACCTTTCAAATCTAAAAAATCCCATCCTTCAATGGAGATCAAATCATTTTATTGTTCTTTCATGACAGTAAGAGCTGAGTATCATAAATTGTTAAGATCTTATTTCACTTCTCAGTAGTGGTATGAAAACTTAGTTTCATTTGAGATGTTATGATTTTGTGTTAGTGAATTAGATATTACAGAATAACTCTACGACGTCTTCCGTTTAGAAAGAGATCATGTCGTGGAGAGTAAAAAGGTATAGTTAAGCCTAACTTAGTATTTTGTCATCGTGTTTCATTAATAGTGAACATGATTCGATGATATTTTTCTTTTTTTATCAACCCAACAGAACATTTCAAGGACTGTGCTGATGGAACGCGAGCACATATTTCGGTTTGGTGTGATGGATGGCTAGATTGTCCGAAGAATCAAGCCGATGAACTGAATTGTAAGTGGCTTGTTTGAATATATACCCAATTGTAATTGGTTAGTTTAAATATATACCCAATTGTAATTGGTTAGTTTAAATATATATACCCAATTGTAATTGGTTAGTTTAAATATATACCCAATTGTAATTGATTAGTTTAAATATATACCCAATTGTAATTGGTTAGTTTCAATGTAAACTAAACTGTAACTGTTGTATACTTGTAAATATATAGATATACACATAAACGTATGTATATAGAAAATAAATTTTAACGAAAGTATTGACCGGGCGTGGCCTTGTAGATAGCGTGCCCGGACTGTAAATCAGAGTATTCCTGATCCGCGTCTGTGATCGCTAAAAATCACTCCGCAAGTTGGAGACGTGGGTGCGTTATAAGAGTGACGATAAATCGCACTATCTGTTCATACAAGAGCTGCCGGCTATGCGAAGATAGCCAGTCTATTGTGTAGTTTTGCGTGAACTTTCTGAAGTGAACAAACAAAAACGAAAACATAATATTCTAGGTGTGTTTGTTGCTGTTCTGTGTTACAATCTACATATAAACCATACAAGATATTTATGTTTTAACACTTGCCATACGAACCAGCCCAGCATCCTATAGTAATGAGCCTAGGATGGTCAACAGGAGCGCCATTCCGAAAACCGGCGATTTAGGGTTATTTCGATAGATCTTGACGAATGAAGCTCGACACAACTTCTAAAGCGAAAAATATAATAAAAGATATTAATAAAATATTTCACATTCAAAATCCTTTCAATATAATCTAATCAACCTTCTGTATTTGTATTTTTTTGTGTTCGTTTCATATCATTGCGGATCAACTGCCTTACCAAGACGTTTTATCCATTTGAAAAGCTTGAATATGTACATTTCATTCCAATATCACGAAGCTTATACATACATAGTAAAGTAGTCAGTGATTAAACCTAGAAAAGTGTATTGATTGTTGATCTTTCAAGAGATTGAATATCTAAGATATTGCTTTAAAATTTTTGAAGATAGCTTTTATATGCGGAAACATCTGTTAGCTGAGTTCTTGCACAGATCTTAAAATATTACGTTGATAAACTGAAACATCGGCACAATTAGATATGTAGATCTTGAAAGTCGAGTTGTTCAAAACTTGAAAATAGCGTTGATAACTTGACCAATTGTTGGTTGAGAAGTTTGCAAAGTAAATATCTGCTGAAGCTTTTCGCCAGACACTAATCGTAGCAGAACCGTCTGGAAAATCATTTTAAGATCTGTGCAAGAACTCAGCTAACAGATGTTTCCGCATATAAAAGCTATCTTCAAGTTTTGTACACCAAAAAAAAAAAAACTTTACCATTTTTGTAAC